GCACAACCATCTGTAGCTGCTTTATTAAACGCTGGAGTGAATAAAGACGTCATCTGAAAAGCAGTTATAGCTCTGCCAGGGTGGTTTCTCATCCATTTTTCACATTCGCTCGCAAAATAAGTCTTCAACGCACTATGAAAACCTTTGTCTAGTGGTTGCATCTTGTGGCTGCTGTGTGGAGGTATGGTTAGAGCTATTATGTTATTCGCTCGATAAAAGTCTACAGCCCCTATTGTACAATGCGACACATGATTGTCAAGAACCAGAAGGATAGGGTGTTCTTTAGTTGGTCTTGTGTGATCTTTAAAGTGACCTAGCCAGTTTAAAAAAAGTTCACTATTAATATAACTTGTGTCTGAGACCATTTCAATAGACGCTGGTGGTGCGCCATTCAGCAATTCTGCTTTCATCCTTTTGCGACCGAATAGGAAAGCGGGAGGAATGAAGTGTCCAGATGCACTCATAGCATTCACTACGGTTACGTTCGTTCCTCTTTCAGCGCTAGAAATCTTATTAACAGCGCGCTTTCCTTTTTTTGATATGACCCTTGGAGGATTGTTGGGTACGGTAGACAGACCAGTTTCATCCATATTATAAATGGAAGTTGGAGGAAACTTATACTTGTCCATCAATTCTGCTAGATTTTTGTAGAACCTTTCACATTGTGGCTTATTAAATCCCATCGCCCTAGCAATACTTGTGGAAGTTGGACGTCTTAGTGAAAGATCTGGGTGCCGACTGAGAAATCCACGAAGCCAGTGTTTGCCTGCCATTTTCTTTTCGGCATTGAAACGATGAGGAATATTATTTTTCACCACAAACTCGTAAGCAGCAATCCTCAAATTTTTAGGAGTCATCCCTTGAAACATATTGTCAAGATCTTCCAAATAATTACAAAATTCCTGTTCAATTTCGGGAGAAAGAGTTGCATCATATCTACCAAGCTTTGTTGCAGCTTCTTTTCTCTTCAGGCGATACCGCAAAGTACTTTCTTTCATCCCGTACGACGATGCTACTTTTCTTTTGCTTTCACCATTTTCTATTCGTCTTCTAGCTTCCTCTAAAACATATTGAGGGCACAGCGAACGTTCCGACGACCTTTTTCTTTGATTAGGCATTCTGAAAATGAATATTTAAGGTTGTTATATCAAATTAAAAGTTATGGTAGGGTAAGTCTGCGCGCGTAGTGTTACGGACCGTGACTCTGCGCAGTCTTAGGGAATAGCGGAATATACAATTATGTGACTCCTAACGCCATCTATTGAAAATATCAAAAATTATATCGCTCGCCGGCTGTATAGGTTAAATCAGGCAAACGAAAACACTGGTCAAATCTTTGATAGTACTTCAGGCTTTCATGTAATTACAGTTTGAAATTGAGAAACAATAACATCAGAATCGATATTTAACTTCAAACTTACCTTGCGACTAGGTTTTGGTAGGTTTTTGGTTTGTTTTTTCTACAGCGCACTCACTCACAGCAACGGCCCAGAACACGAGAGAAGTTAGTCGACAATGTCATTTTGCTTTCGAAATGTGGGAGCTGCGCAATCTTACCTCCTGCGCAAAGTTAGGGCACCCTACCCTATTTTGCAGTCTTCAGTTTTCAACAAATTTTTGAAAAACATGATCCTTAATCTGAAAAAATCCCGGGAGACAAATTTTCAGATCACTTAATGGGATTTTCGATTTTTATCGATTTTTTGGAGGATCGACTGCGATAGCAACAATATTGGAACAAGACTATTTTTCTCAAAAACGGCTCACTTAATCTAAATAAAAAAAAAGATTTCACAAAAATATTCTAGAGGCATTATTAAGCAGGGTGTATAAAAATCAGCAACATTTTGTTAGGGCTAGTCCATCCCTGAAGATGTAAATGAGATAAGCGTTTTCGATCGAGATCATCATATGCCAGACAAATACTGTTAAATTATGCGGTGACTCTCCACAGCTATTTAAGAAAAACCAATTTCCAGCGACGACATTTGTATCGTTGTAGGGAAGGCATTTAGAACATATTTGATGTTAACTTTTGGTAATTATAACTTCCAATAGCCAGACAGCTATAGACTTGCTCATGGTTAGCTCTGCTGATATAATAAGTGGTTATGAAGTTGTTGACGTAGATGGAATATCTGACCATCTAACCCTAATATTTTATGTAGATACATCGGAGATAGGCAACCTATGTAAACTGAGGACATATCGTGATTACTCTACCTTTAGCCTAGACAATTTCTACCATGATTTACTTTTAATAAACTGGGATTTTATATATACGTTGAGAGATGTGGATCAAATGATTGACTTCCTGAGCTCTAATATCTTGTGCACCTTCAACTTGCATGCTCCTGTCAGAAACATTCGAGTTACCAAGCCACCAGCTCCTTGGCGAACATTCAACATAAAACTCATGATGCGAACAAAAAGTGACGCATATAAAAAATTTAAACGTACAGGAACGATTGCTGCCTGGGAATTCTATAAGAAAATCAGAAATTATGTTTCTAGTGCTATTAGGCGAGAGAAAAAAGCCTACCTCGATTATGTTATGAGACATAAAAATTCGAAGACTACATGGAATATACTTAGATCTTTGAATATCGTTAAACATAACTCCATAAGTCTACCTCCACATCTTCAGGATCTCGATTCATTAAATAGTGCTTTTTTAAACGTACCTCAAACAACCAAATCATTAACTCAATTGAACCTTTTAGACAAATATGAAAACGTCAAGAATAGTGGTACTTTTCTGTTCACGACAGTTTCCCCTGCCACTGTAGAGAAATTTATTAATCGCATCAAAAGTCATGCTAAAGGCTCAGATGGCATCACAATTGATATGATCCGTATAATACAAAAGCATTTGCTCAAGTATATTACCTTCATTATTAACTTTTGTATAACAAATAATCTTTATCCCTCTTCCTGGAAGAATGCTCTTGTTCTCCCTCTGCCTAAATCTAATTATCCTTCAAGTTTTTCTGATCTTCGTCCTATAAGCATTTTACCAAGTTTATCTAAGCTTTTGGAAATGGCTCTACATGAGCAGCTGCACACATTTGTTTGTCAAAATAATTTACTGACCACCTCCCAATCTGGCTTCAGACCATTACATAGCACCACCACTGCGCTCCTGTCTATATCGGATAATATTTATAGCGCGGTTGATCAAGGAAAGCTGTCCTGCTTAGTTCTTCTTGATTTTAGCAAGGCCTTCGATACGGTTGACCCAAATATTCTCTGTAAAAAGCTTAGATACTTTGGCCTGTCATCATCGGCTTGCACGCTGATTAAGAGCTTTTTAACTGATCGCTCACAGTCTGTCATATATGAAAACAATATATCAACTTCTTTATTCAGAAATTTTAGTGTCCCTCAAGGATCTATTTTGAGTCCCCTTTTATTTGCTCTTTATATATGTGATTTTCATGAAACCGCCAGCAACTCAATCGTTCATCATTACGCCGATGATACCCAACTTTATAACTGCTTCGATCCTGATGAATATATGCTTGGCCAACATCAAATAAATCAAGACCTGCAGTCTATTTTTGACATATCTAGTGCTCACAATCTAAAACTAAATCCTGGCAAATCATGCTGCATTTTATTTGGGCCCAAAAAGAATCGTGAAATAAATCAATATCGCATTAATATTATGGTGAATAATGAAGACATATCCTTCGTAAACGAATGCAAAAACCTTGGTATCTGGTTTGACTGCAAGCTACGCTTCACTAAACATGTTAACCAACTATGCAATGCGTCCTATAATGTGCTTCGTCAGTTATACCCGAGTCGAAGTGTCGTGTCGACACAGCTCAAGCTTAAACTCTGCGAGTCCCTTATCCTGTCAAAATTATCTTACGGTGACTCTGTTTATGGACCTGCTCTTTTACAACGTGATGCCGAGCGGATTCAGATGATACAAAACTCATGCATCAGATTTTCTTATGGAATCCGTAAATTTGATCATATTAGTAGCGCTTTTGACCAATCGGGATGGTTTAAGATGAACAAATTGAGGAAACTGCATTGCCTATCTTTGGTACATAAGACCCTTATCCTTAAAGCGCCATATTATCTTTATACAAAACTAAGCCTCCTCTGCCAGTACGATCAAAGATCCTCTAGGAATAAACTCATCTTACTTATCCCGCGGCATTCGACAGCATTGTTCACACGCAGTTTCTCGTACTGGGCACCCAAACTATATAACTGCTTATCAAGTGAGTATAAAGAATATAGCCTAAGCAATTTTAAAAAAAGGTTAAAGATGAGTTTAAAGCAGTCGGATGGCTAAAATTTTACTTTATGCATATCCACAGGTAATTGATTGTTTCCTTTCTCTGATAAGTGTTATATTCTAAGTTTTTTTTTTCTCTCTCTCTCTATAGTTTGTGTCAATGTTTTCCAGGTCGGGTTGAAAAACAGCATAAGCTGACACTCCACCTTTTCGTCACTGTTCCTTTTAAATCAATTATTTTGTAATCGTGTGACGAATAAAGCCCATTTATTATTATTATTATTATTATTATTTTCTTGTATTCTATATGTTGCCGAGAGATTGATTGATTATTTTGGGATCACCCTGTATACTATTAACATATGCAATTCGAAGATAAACATTTCGCTTCATTAAACTCTATTACAAGTAGAAGCTATTATTTCCAGAGAAAAAAACTTCGACACTGGGACGGTTGCAATCGGAAACACAGTCACTAGAAAAACACTTTGCTTACAATTACGAATGGGAAATCCTTGCAAAAGAGTTTCCATTAAAACAATCAATATCCTCTCACCCTCAGATGAGTAAAAAATCTCGGAGGCTCATCAGTTATATTCACACATTTGCAATTTTGGGAAAACATGGGGCATGTCCATCGGATTTTATCTCTTGATATGAAAGCTCCCCCTTTAAATACGTTCGCTACTTCAAACAAATTTATTAAATTTTAAACACTTCCCGCTTTATCTGCTACAAAAAAACCCTAAAAACACATATGTCCCCCTACCTGTAACGGCGTTAACCCTTCCAGCTGCGCACGATGAGGAGGGTACAGTTGTGCCAAACACATGATGGCTTCGTTGCAAAACTTCAGGCCCATCACTTCTTCATCTTCTCGACCGTATCTGCAAAGAAATTAGATCAATCAGCTCTGCCGAAAGACTCACAAGAATATAAAAATTTGACTGAAGGCTTAAGTTCAATGTGTACAAGAGAGAAGTGTGTATAGACACATACGTTAGAAAGAGATAAAAGCGAAGCTCATCAATCTGCCGCGTAGCGAATATGTTACATCAGTTCCTTGAATTAATGTGCATGTTGAAAGTATGCGTTAGTTTATTCTCTACGCCCAAATAATGGTTTTATTTTGAGCATACACGTTTTTGAATTGTGAATTGTGTCGGATCTGTTTAGGATCATCCGGATCGGCCTAACGGCGTTCCATTTTAGGTCAGAATAAAAGGTCAGGTTCACCACAAATTCTGCAACATTGCATCATTAGTCCGCTTGGCAATACCGCATCTCGTACATTCAAGGCAAGGTTTCCACATTCGTGCCGACAGACAGACAGACCGACGTGAATTAGCCACATGGTTTTCCGTATACATGTCATATAACATCCAAAAACATGATATCTCTCGATTTTTTTTGCGAATACGATACTTCCCCGCCAAAGGCATGGGGTGTGACTTTATATTGTTTGATATCGATAACGTGATTCAATGCAGATTCATCAGTTTTGAAAACGTAGTAATTCTGGCGTATAGACTCGTAACAAGAGGCCCGAGCAAGCCCAGAATATTGGTTTTCAGATCATTGAACCGAATTTCAATTTATTTGTTAAACTTTTTGGGGGTCGGTCGCAGGTGTATATCGATACGAATAATATTGAACTGGTTTTTATCGGAAACGGCTCATATTATTGAAATCTTACACTAGTTTTTTTTTCTGCTAAACGGTTCTACCGAATAAAAATATTATTCTTGGGCCATTAGAGTACAAGGTGTAAGAAATTAGCAATATTACTATCTAAGTGATTTGTTTTTATAGACACCATCATGTGAGGCCCAAACTGGTTACCTATTATACTTTCAAAATTTCACTGTATTATACAGAAGAATTATTTAGGGTTCTGTATATCCACGAAGGAGCTCAGTCTGGCACTTTTTATAGATGCTTGTATATTTTTTTGTAACTCATTCTTTGACACCCTGTATAGCTAGCTCTCACACCAAAAGCTCATGAAAGTATGTCTGACCATAAGATCTCTCTTTCAGTAATTCGCATTATTCGAGCCATCCACCTTATACGAACACGTGTTCAATAGGATTTTCGTATTGATGCATATTTATAAAATGTACTAGTTCATAGGTTCACTCAATATCACTCCGGCCTCCATTTCAGCCACTCTCCCAAGTGCACCTCCGCCCTTGATACGAATAATAAATCAGTCTACTCGGTAAAAACAAGACTGAATTGCGAGTCTTGCCTTCAACTATATCCGAAACTTCTCAAGGATTGTGAGAAAACTGCATACAAAGTTTTGCAGCAGAACGAGAGGTGAAGTTCGCACGTGATTGGTTACGGTTTATAGGTACGCCCGTACTTTTGTTTGCTTTCCGGAAACGAAAGTAAACGAGCGGTATGATTACGTCAGCATTGTAGCAACTACCGGTGCCGGTGGTTAGAAGTTGTAATGGGGCTGGCTTTTTTCTTTTAGTGTTACCTCCTACGTCAATACGCAACACTAAAATTGTTCGACGAAGGTTATACAGGTGATTCCATGTAAAAATACTGCGATCGATTACTCAAAAAGTTGACGTAAAACAGTTGTGAAAATTCGGGTTTATAATATAGGGTGGCGCATCGAAAACAAAACAGACGCATTTACTGGCAGCTCAGTTTTTTTTTTTTTGAAAAACGCTCTGACCCGTCGATTTTGTTTTCGAGGGGGACACAAGTTTGGCAAAAAATCACGTTAGCACGTGCAGCCTCCTAAGCGGGGGTGACACCACCCCTACAATCTTAAATGGAAAGGGGGGTCGAGTGATACCTTATTTTAAAGGTCTTTCAATTCCCTTTATAATGATATAAGATTAATGTACTTCGGTTCAGTAGTTTTGAAGATTTATTGATTTAAAGCTTAAATAAAACTAATACTTACATCATCATTAGTGGAGATCAATACATTTGGCAGCAAAGTAATTTAAAATGAAGAATGAACTGACCCGTTAGGCAAGTAAATGTTGAAAATGGCTACCATGACTCTCCATGCAATAATGAAGATTTTGGTCAAAACGTTGCCGCACATTTTGCAATATTTGAGGAGTAATTTGAAGGCATTGATTCACAATTCTTTGTCGCAGGTGTTCTAATGATGTTGGCTGAGTAGCATAGATTTTCCTTTTTAAATGACCCCACATAAAGAAATCCAAAGGTGATAAATCTGGCGATCTTGGGGGCCATTCAATGGCACTTCTTCTACCAATCCATCGATCTGGAAACGTCTGATCTAAATATTGTCGAACACGTAATGCGTAATGTGGTGGGTCACCATCCTGTTGGAACATCAACCTATTCGCAATGTACCGCCGATCATTCTGATTTTCAATTATGGCTGTTAATGCAGGATCTATGGCGTCCTCCAGTAATTCCAAATACATTTCACCGGTCAAATTTCCAGGTAAGAAAAAAGGACAAACTAAATGATCGCCAAAAACACCAGCCCAAACATTTAATTTTTGTGGCTGCTGTGTATAAACCTCATGATAAATTCTGGTATTAGAATCAGACCAATATCGGCAGTTATGACGATTTACTACACCATTTAAGAAAAAGGAAAATTCGTCGGAAAAGCAACTGTTGAATAGAAAATGTTCATCGTTTATAATTCGTTCACTCATATCTTCACAAAATTGTAATCGCCGATCAAAATCGTCATTAAGTTCTTGTACCAGGTGAATTTTATACGGATGAAAACTATGGGCCTTTAGAATCCGTTGGACAGTACGTCGACTAACACCACACGCAGTCTCCAATTTGCAGGTACTTAACGTAGGATCTACATAAACTTGCCCTAAAACCCCCACTTCTATTGCTTCGTCCCTTATGGGATTTTCAGTGTTGCGTTTTTTATTGGCGACTGACCCAGTTTCCCGAAATTTAGCTACAAGTTCTAGAACATATTTTCGATGCACGTTACTGTTCTCATGTCGCTCATTAAATATTTCTGCTGTTCTATTAGCGCACTGATTATTTCCGAAAAATATTTCGATAATTTCAACTCTTTCTGCTGTGGAATATACCATGGTTAATTTATGTAATAAAGCGTTACAAGTTATTTTAGCAACAAAGTTTGGTCAAATCAATCGCAAACTATGTACTAAATTCCTATTTAAAATAAGTAGTAAGAGATATTTCCTTATCTTTCTTCAAGAAATAACTTTTTTGCCACAAAAAAAAACGCTCCAATAGCTATTTTCAACAACAAAATGATAAACAAACCATGGGCGTAGTGAAGAAAAGCATTTACTTATTAAGTAAATTCTTTTAGCCAAATTTCTTCTGAAAGTAGTACAAACTAAAGCCTACTTTAAGCTTTAAATCAATAAATCTTCAAAACTACTGAACTGAAGCTCATGTATTTTACATCATTATCAGGGAATTGAAAGACCTTTAAAATAAGGTATCACTCGACCCCCCTTTCCATTTAAGATTTTAGGGTTGGTGTCACCCTCGCCCAGGCACGTGTTAATGTGATTTTTTGCCAAACTTGTGTCCCCCTCGAAAACAAAATCGACGGGTCTGAGCGTTTTTCCAAAAAAGAACTGAGCTGCCAGTAAATGCGTCTGTTTCGTTTTCGATGCGCCACCCTGAATAACTTATGGGAACAATTCCGAAATATTTTTAAAATGGTGGCACGTCCGGCAGGGATATTACGTAAGTTGAAAAGTTACATTATGTAGGCTTTTCTTTTGACGTTATGTAGGTTTGCCTACAAGACGTCAACTTGGAACTAGCTGTAGTTCATGTTCACTTGTAGCAAGCGCGGAATGACCTATTTGCACGCTAGCCTACTTAGTCAGCGAGCTGACATTTTATCATTTTTTTTACATTTTATAGATTTTTTACGTAATAACCCTGCGGGTGTACCGGAAGTAGATACTTACTTGCTTAGTTCAGACAGAACACCCTGCATATTATTCAATTTTTGGATTCCCCCAAATCCTAAATATATTTCATGTATATCATTATATGCCTAAACATTTTTAAGATACCTCAAATTTTTTTGAGGAAGGTTATAGGCTTGGGTTTAACCACAAAGTCATCATGGATATTTTTAATGTTTAGCACAATGAAATCATATTTTTTGATTTTCTGAAATCCGGTATTCATTCTCTTTCTTAACTACTATTTGTTATCCAAATTCGGGATAAAATCTATTAATGTAATTCTCTACTACAATCGTATAAAAAATTAATAATTCATTTGCCTGTATATATCATTTTTTACTCAAAATTTGAGATCAAAAACGATTGGACGTAGAATGGTTAAATAAATGTATTTGGAATCTTGCGTATTTAAAGTAAGCATAGCATCTTCTGCGGCGTCCTGGCTTTAGGATTCTCCCTTCGCGGCTGTTTCGGTGTAAAAAATACTACACTCAATTCTCATGCTTTTTAATACTCCAATCTTCGGTGACTTTAAGGTAAGAAAAATTAATAACAGGCTAAAAATTGGAATGATGGTAGTTAATAGTACTAGAGAAAAAAATAAATCCACCCTAAAACAATTAACGTACTTAAAATGTAAGAAATACTATTTCGCTTATACCTTGGAAAATATAGGAAATATAAATGCGTGTTACTACGAATAAAGCTGAGGAAATTTACTATTGGATTAGTATTTTACAGTATTTATTTGTGTTTTCCCTATTTTGCGCGAGAGTTCCAATGAGGAAGATGTTTGATCTACATAGATCTAAAGACAAATTACTTTCTCTAAAAAGATGCTATTTCCATCGTACTGTCAACATTTTTTAGTGTTCTTCCAATTTAATTCCTACATTCTGTTTTCCCATAAGTATTGCTTTTAAGTGTGAAAAAATAATGAATCTCTTTATATAATGGACGAAACAAATAATCCATATACAGTAATCCAGTATACCAAATCATTTGGCACTACATGCATAGGCCACAATTATCTGTTGAAACTAGAAATACTCTTTCAAAAAATTTACAATTCGGTCAAATGTATGTCTTCTAGTCGAGCCATTTGCATCCAGGATGAGGTCCTTCGAGCCCACAAAATAGTTTGAGAAACTTTTGAGGAAGTTTAAAACGATGCCAGCGGAAATGAGTTTCTGCTTTTTACAGATAATCGTGGTCCGTGTGTGTGTCCCAAATGATTCGGTGTGATCTTATGAAAATAACTGCGTATAAGTTAGGTATTTCTTCTCCCCACTAGAAATGCTCGAAATGAAAATGGTACGGCCAAACAGATTGCTGCGATTTTATCGTAGTGGTATATGAAAATTTCAACAATCTCTACAGAGTAATCTGCTTGTTTTTGAATATTGATTCATTAATTTTCCACCGAGATATGGCAAAATTTTTCATAGACTTGAACCATATAAAAACTTCTTCCTATTTAACGCGCTCGTGCAAAATATAACTATTTGAGATATTCATAGTAAAGTGCTATTTCCATAGCAAATTTCCTCTGCTTTTATTTTACAGAATTCTAATAAATTCATTATTTTGCATGACATTTAACAGTAGCTTATACATACCACCAAAGCTTCAAGCCTGGCAATCATTTCTGCGATTTTAATCCTTTCGTATAGCTAATAAATTGATTAAAACTCCCAGCATTCCCTTGATCCTTTCCTACTCTTTATTATACACTACTTAATGCTCCACGAACCGATTTTGCTTATATCAACAACTTTTCGGAAAACTTTCCCACGCAAAGTACGCTCAAATTACAGTGTAGATTCTCATTAGCATTGTTAGCTGTACAACCATATAATGGAGGTAAGCTGGTGTTTCAGCATGGATTAATTTTAACGTGTAACTATCTACGTATATACGTATCAAGCTATGCTCGTGGATATTATAAGCCCTTTGATGAATTGTATAAACTGTAATGCGGGCTTGATGCTGGTGGGGAGCAGTCTTGTTTCTGTATAATCCGTGCCCTTGTCTTTGAGGTGCTTTCAACTAGAACAATTGTCGCTAAGGCGTCAAACGGATAGTATACCGTAGTTATCACATACTCGTATACTATTAACAACTATTGTTCATGTTTTCTTGTTTCTTGCCATCTGTCTTCTTTCTTGCCAAGTTGGCCTGTATTTTTTAACCACTCCGCCCACGTGCTGTCATATACTCGTAACTTCCTTGGTCGTGCCCTGTCTCTTTGTATGTTTTGGCTTGCCACATTCGTTTTGTTTGTCTCGTGTCGTCCATACTCAGTAGGTGTCAAATCCACATGAGATGTTGCTTATCTATGTTTTTAGAATGGATCGATCAGGAGCTCTTCTCTGACAGCTACGAAAT